CCCCCTTCCAGTTAGATCTCATGTATTTCCTGTCTTTTCCTGTCTTTGTTTTTATGGGAATTGAATGATAGGCGTCTTTGAGATCGATACTGCACATGTAGCAGTTTTGTTCTGCAAGCTTAGTGAGCGTAGTTAGTGAGTTCATTTTGAAATGGAAATATGACACAAAAATATTAAAAACTTTGAAATCTACTATGATCCATATGTGCCATTTTCTCTCTTTTGTAAGAAAATTTTGGAGAATTTCGTCATGTTCGTGTTGTACTGTTTCAATTTTATTTTTCGCAATCATTCACACAAATTGAGATCGATCACGTCATTTACGTCAATTCAGTTTGGGTGAAAGTAATGCTGATAAGGCGTTTCTTACAGGTCGATTGTCATTCCTTTTACATTAGCTAAGATTTCTTTATCTTAAGTAATATCGGTCCATGCGAGAAAATGTTTTGCTATTGAGTGTATCTGTCGCGGATCGCGTGTAAAAAGTCGCGGGTGGCAGGTTGAATGTCGTGGGTTTAAAAAACTATATTTTGCATCGAAAACATAGAAAAGTTGTAAAGAAAACGTGCTCCTGTAATCGACAATCTTTAATGTCAACATTAAAAATATGTCTCTATTGCGCTTTGAATATTGTCCATTTTAAAAACGAGCTGGATAATGGCGTGAGCTCAACTCACAAAAGCTTCCGAAATCTTTACTCGGGACATTTCACATTAGTTTAGTTGTTTTACATTATAGTAAGCATTGTTAAAGCATAAAACATCTGGGGAAAACATAGATGTTACCTTGAAAGAGGAAGATATTCACAACAGCAACAACAACAAGAGCAACCTTTGATTTCCCTTTTGGCTAAATTTGTTGAGAAATGAGATAAAAATGTCTCTAATTTGTAGACAATATGTTTTCTTTAAACAGTTATTGTTGATAGTATAATCACATGATGAAGCTTTTAAAATTTTTTTTAAATAACAGCTTTTAAAAAATTAGGAAAAGTACATTTGAAGTGAAGGTGGTTCAAGTCGAAAAAATTTGCTGGTTGTATTTGAGTGCAAGCATGTCAGAGCATTTCTAAGTAATGAAGCCACCATATAAATTTTTCCAACACAACTAAGGCTGATTTTTAGATCTTTTTTAAAATCTAGAAACTTAAAATTGTTTATTATGTCCCCAAAAATCCACTCAACTGATATCCTTACAGCACTCATCGATTTGTTAAATTCTTGCACGTGGATTGTAAGTTGCCTGTTCCGATATAGTGCTTGTAGGTGCATACGTAATGGGTAGGCTGGATCACCATACAAGCACATGGGTTTATCATTATAAAAGGGATATAATTGTAGATCCTGCAGATGAGGCTAACATAGCAGAATCGTGCCTTTTTCCTTCTATAAAACAAAAAAATTAAATGAAACTCAAAGTAAACATAAGGATATTAGTCAAATGATGTGCTTACCAACTGGTCCAAACAAATTGGCTATCATTCCATTAGGAAGAGTGATCGATTGAAACTTTATAGCGTATACCCTCTTATGACCATTGTATAGTAAACTTTGCATTTCATCTAGACGGCAAATTGACCTCACTGTGGCATCAATAAAACCAAAACAATTGTCTAAAGCTCCTCCTTTCTGGTGAATTGCTTCAGCATAAATTTTCAAGTTATTGGGACGCAGTAGATCGTGATTCTAATTTGTTATTTTTCCCCCATGCCTTTCATAAATAAAATCTACCACAGAATTGGTATTCATGCTAAGTTCAGGGCACAGATCTGCCAAATTGAGGTACCAAGTCACTGTATCTGCAAGGATAAGCAAAACGACAAAGGGCTATGCAAAGAGCCTCCAATCCATTGCAAACTGTTCCTTGCTTGCACTTGAATCGGTAAGGCAAACCTAAAGCTTCAGCAAGCAGCGGTATGTCTTGCTTTTTAAAACGAAAATCCAAAGAACAGGTAACTTCATCTATTTTTTCCAGATCTAACGATGGATAATCATTGTGCATTATTTCAGGATTTTTCGAACGGCAAGCATCGTATAGTAAGACAAATTCCTCATCATTAATTAAAGCTGCATCATAGGCAAAAGCCATAACAGTTCTTGCATTTCTGAATGACATTTTTAAATACTCTAAAATGATGTTGCTGAAACTACACACGTCGCGCAGTCAAAAACTTAAGTCAAAATGTATAATCCACGCCGATGCGTCTAGCCCCAGGACGTGCGCGCACAAGTAGCGTCGTTGAAAAGCGCGTAGTAAAGTCTTAAGGTCCCTAATATGTGTCTGCTACGTAAGTGCACATACGAAATTAATGTTTATTTACGCAATCTTGAAGCAAGTTTTAGTTATTTATATATCATTGTTATAAGAGAAAATACTGTGTATGTTAGTTGAAAAGGAGAGCCAGATATACCCGTAATCAACATTAACATAGCCAGGGGCAACGATAGCTGTTGCTTCCCACCATCTTCAACAGGCATAGAACGAAGAACATTCACGAAATTTCTCCGATAGGTGTTTACATTACAATGAGAGCGTTTCAATTACCAATCCAATACACTGCACACCACTTCGGAGTGCAAACCACCACATCAACAGTACGTTGCAAAAAATGAGCCGATAGCAACATTTTATGTGTAAACGGACGCCCTATCCAATACGGCTTATGCGCCGGACGCAAAGTGATCATATGCAATGTAAACCTAGTCTCAAAATAACGGCATTCGATGGATCAAGACGTCTAGTACATATTAACCCTTTGTTGCATCAAATTTTTTGCGGACCAAGCTTCACCGTGCTCGGTGATTGTTGCCCTCAAGCAACGCCATGCAGCACAGCACGTTCTCTCTAATAAATAACAGAATTATCTCATGCTGTGTAATATCATGATTTACAAGCAATGTGTTTGTTATATTTCAAAGACGAGAACAGGAAGTCCAATGCATAGAAAGAAATCGAATCCCTTCATACGAACAATAGCTAATAGCAAAAGAACTTTTCCATGCAACACGAAACGTCTATTTGCAGCCGTAATGTTTAACGTTTTGTACAATATGCAAGTGTGAACGTTTCGGTGTAAATCATTCCCGACAAATCGCATCTATCCGTGTAAATACGTCACCGATTCTTACAGCTAGTGTGAACCATGTTTAAAGAACGTTTACTTCAAGAGAGCATTCAAGTGTGCAACATGGAAATAAATACTTCCCGAGAACTCTGTATCATGTTTTTTCAAATATTTTTGTGTTCTCTAAGACATTATACCCGCGGCCCGCGACTTTTTACCAGCGACAGTTAGATACACTCGTTTTGTTATTCTGCTCGCTTTTGAGCTGTCACATAAAGTAGTTAGGACGCTTTTTAATTTTGGGATAAAATTTTCCCATTTGCTTAACAGAGTAAACCTCATATGTTGTACTTCATGAATTATTTATTGCGTGTTTGTCGTTTCACACTTTTCGTTGGGAAGTTTGTGAAAAGCCGGCCACGATCCAGTATCCTAATTCGATTCATGCATTTTAGCGCCAATGTTTTCTATCACTATTTTTGTGTAATATGGGCGAGGTGGGGTACATGGAGTTTGATTATATTTAACAACCTTGCTTGAATTGCTTCTTTCTTTAGCTTCTTTCAGTCTCATTGGTGAGCCATAGCCAAAGAGATTTGTTCACCGCTATCTGAGTATATGGGGCATATTCGTGTTGCAAAACACATTTTATTTTATTTCTGCAAACACTGGCCAGTTTGTGGCTAATATGTCTTAGTGTTAGGACATATTAGCCACAAACTGGCCAGGGTTGGATTGCTATTAAGTCGACTTGTTGACTTTACGAGTTCTTTGATGTTAAGGTCGTTTGCCTTTCTTATGCTCAGAACTTGTGCTGTCTAAATTGCAATAAGATTTGTTTTTCTTACTGCTTCTTGTATCATTGAATTATTTTGATCTGCTCTTTGTTGATAGAATGGTAGTTTTGCCCATATATCAGAGTTTACTGTAATGGGGCATACTGAAGAGCAATTTGCAAGTCGTAGGTATTTGTCTTGGATTGACTTTATTTTGTCAAGAGCAAGTTTTTTCTGACATCTTTTCTCGACAATGGCAGCCAGTTCTGCTTTGACATTGTCACCTGTCGGCTCTGAATCATGAAATATTTCTGCTAGCTGGTGAAGTGTATCATCGATTGAAGTCGTATTTTTGCCCGTTTTATCGTTATCAATGAGCTCAGAGAAATTTTCGTCGTCAAAGTCAATAGAGCGCAAACGCTTATATTGTCATTGTCATTAGAGTCGTTTACATGTGTAGCATCATTGATTGATTTGCAAGATTTTGACTATTTCTCGTGACGGATATCGTCTTTGCTGTCCGTCGAAGAAGAGTTCGATCCGCGCCGTTTGTGAAGGCGGTCTATATTGTCATTCTCAACGTCTGGTTGTTGAGTTGAGTTTGCATCATCCCTTGTTTGATGATGCTGCCACATTATAAGTATCATTGATTTCAGCTATGCTAACTCTTTAGCGATAGTTTGAGAATCGGGCTGTTGTTTCCCGTTGATACGATTTCGATGTCATTAGGTGTTTCTTCAATGTTAGTCATACCTGCTAAATGGGAGTAGTTACGTAAGGAATTTTTTTTTGTTATTAGTTATACTCGCGATTCGTTACCTTTCCTCTTTTAGGTGTGTTACGAAATGTATAATGGAACTTTTTTCCAACCCTCTCTGAACAAAGAACACACTGTGCACTGAACAACAAGCGACGCGCGCGCGCTTCTCATTTGATTCCGTAGTGACCTGACCGATGACTTTTATGAAGATTTATACTTTTTACTTGACCTGTAATCAACTTTACCGCAACCCCTATATTTCACTGCTGGGGGTTATTATCTTGGTAACTAAACTAAAAAATTTTTTGGGTTCTTAAGATGAATGCTGCCGAGTTCTTCAGCATTAAAAGTTAGTTTGATGATTTTTTCCTCTGACAATTTATAATATTTTTTTTTGAAGGTGCTTCTGGTAATCACCGCTGATACTAGATTTCAAACTGAGAGATGGCCATTTTTATATTCTTCCTCTTCTTTTTGCAAAGAGCAAACTCGAAAAGTTCTGGAAATTGCACAAAACCAAATAGTATGTATTGTTGTGCTTATTTACAATTTTTCTATAATGAAATATTTAGTACTGATAGGCTTTTAAGAGATAAAATTTCACAGACTTAATTCTCACTACTGTGTGAACGGTCAAAAAAATTTTATGTTATGAGGCAACTTTGGTACTATCCTATGGTATGGACTTTCGCATAGCTAGAGGTCGTGTTGAGCACGACCCGGCAACACTAATCTCAAATGAAGGTTTTTTTAACCCACTAAAATTTCAGCATTTGTTTTAATGTGATCGAATATTAATTAGCGAATACAAAATCTATTTCTATCGCTACCTATGCGCTTTGAAATATGTTATATTACCAAATCTAGACTTAGCTAAGTTTCTGTCTGATATCTGCCTTAGGGCTGTTTTATACGTTGCATTTTACATGCGATGAATACATTTGAAACTAAAGAAAATGAGATGAAATTCTTAATTATCTTTTTTTTTGAATGCATTCGACGCACGTTAAATGCGACGTATAAAACAGGCCTTAATCTGTTACTCTTGCCTAAAAACACACGGAACGGCTTTCGCTCGTTTTTAGTCGTGCTCTAGTCAGGCCGGCATGAACAAATTATATATTCGCAAGCGCTGATTTGCCTAAAAACCTAACAGCCTGTTAAAATGGGTTTTGTCAGACTACGTTTGGTCGTTTTTTGACGAGGCGAAAACGACGAAAACTTAGGCCCCGTTTACACTATACCGGATTGCTATCGTAGCAGTTTTAATATTCTTTGTGTTAAAAGGCAGTGAAATTGTTGAACGTCAGAAATACAAACAAATAGACAAAATCTATCAACTTAATGGCTTTTACTCCGAACAGTTACTCCTTAAAAGCAAATGAAGATGTCATGATGAGCGAATCCGGTATAGTGTAAACGCAGCCTTAAATTACAAATAGTGTATTACGCATGCTCAATCGCTGAATATTTTTTGTCCGTTGTGATCATGCTTTAATAAAAAATACATGTTTTGTGTTCCCAAAGCACGAGTTTGCTAAATGATTACATGCACTTTGTCGATTCAATGTAAGGTGGTGAAAATATTTTTTGGCAGGAACTTAAATAGCAGGGCTTCATCAGTCCATGACATACTTTATTAAATCCCGAAATTCTCGACTGCACTAACTGGGAACATTTGTTGACCATACATTGTAGCTGTGATATGTTCACAAGTTCACTCTGAATTGCTCAACTTAATTTCTATTGATTCCTGTTGCTGGTTCCCAATCTTGGTGATTATTTTGTTAGTTGTTTCCATTGTATTAGTTTTTGTTTATTAGTACACTGTGCATGCTGCATTATCATAATTTTGTGAATTTTCACATTTTATGCATTCATGTTCGCCAAAAATTTCCGTCAATTATACATAAGATATCATTGTAAGCTTTTTTGGGGATATTCAATAATTTTTGCATTTTACCGTTTTATTAGTGCAAAGTTTCCATGGAACTTTGTAAGATTGTGGTCAGTGGCGAAAATTCACACGAGTCAGTCAGTCAGTCAGTCAGTCAGTCAGTCAGTCAGTCAGTCAGTCAGTCAGTCAGTCAGTCAGTCAGTCAGTCAGTCAGTCAGTCAGTCAGTCAGTCAGTCAGTCAGTCAGTCAGTCAGTCAGTCAGTCAGTCAGTCAGTCAGTCATAGTGTAAACTTTCCGTGGGTGTCTAGCAACAACGCTCATTTTATGTTTAATGTTTTGTTAGAGATTTATTATCAGTTTTCCAGTGATTATTAAAAGAGAATTTAACACCAACTGCAACTCACATTAACTAAGACATTTATTTAATTGTTTCATTCTAAACTAACAATATATACATATATATATATATATATATATATATATATATATATATATATATATATATATATATTATATATATATATATATTATAAATTCAATTTGATATGTTATAACAATTTATCCCCTGTTTTACCCGCAGCAGCTCTATTTCTTTGAAGAAATATCTAAATGCGCATGCGCCATCTTTTTGCGATCAGTGTAATGAATTGTGTAGCAAGAGTAAAGTAAAGAGAAATAGAATTTTCCGAAATCCAAAAAATTTGCTTTAGCTATAACGCTTTTCGTTAATGCTGACAAATATTTTGAAGATTTTGTAAACTCAAGTTTATATAGAATATGAAGAATATTGGTATTTAATTCGCCGTATTGCCGTATTTGCCAATTACTTGGCTAGCGCTGTTTATTTAGCAACCTGCTCTTAACTTCTGGTCTAACTACACTCATACACTACGTGTTGGTGAATGGTATTAAACATGCTACAGTAAAGTTGAAAGTTGCGCACACATCTGCCTTGGTAAGGAATATTTTACATAAAATAAAAGTGCACTATTAGTGTCCTTGAAGAAAGCATTAGTTGTTGTGGAGTGCTTTGAAAGAATATAAGATAGTCATGCACGACTGCATGACTTTGTCGACATTCATTAACCGCTATGAAAGGGCAAATACGAAATGATTGTTTATTCACGCCAACTTGCCGAAAACTGGACGTGTTCATCAACTGATGCAGTCTGTACAACGTATATATTTATCGAACATCGTTGCATTTTACTGCTCTTTGCCTTATTATTTAATTAGGTTGAATTTAGAGCTAAAATTATCGCAAACAAAGCATTTTGTACTTCTAAACACACGAGCTTCACATATGTATCAAAAGAACAAAAAAATATAACATAACCGAAACAAAAAAGTAAAACATGAGTGATTTCGTTACTCACTATTCTTAACAGTTAACTTACTCGAACCAGTCCTTTTCCGTGTCCTATATATTAGTGAAATCTCAATTTGTCTGTTAAGATTTTTCCAGGGCATAACGTCACAACTTGGAAGATTTTTTTAATGTGCTGGATAATAAAATGGAGTGCATTATTAAAATGTTAAGTTGCCCACGCATGTGTTTTTTTCTGTTGATAAACATTTGTAACGAACAGAAAGACAATTTGCGAAGAATACCTAATACTGCTAGTATTAGGTATTCTTCGCAGTATTAGGTATTCAATTGCCTCTAATCGAGGCAATTGACTCGGTTAGAAAAGCAATGTGCTTTCATGTTATCATCGGAACTTTTACCGGCACGAAGATTTTATTGACCGCATGGTGGACAAGAGTATATTTAATGTGTTATTACAAATAGACAATAAATAAGTAAAGGCTCTCAATAGTGACTTTACAGTTCCAGAGCCAAGAAATGTTTCATGTAGTATAACTGTTTGAGCAACTCAAATGATTTTGGTTTTAAAATATGCACGTATGTGTAATGTGACTGCAAAGAAAAGTACCGAACTGATTGCGTTTACACTACCGGATTTCCTGTTTACGTTTGGACGTGCGAAAACGGAGGTTTTTGAAAATGATGACATCAATAATGGAGCCCATTCTCATGAATTCAGTCAAACGAGTACTTTTTAAAATGGCGTATCACAATTGCATTGCTATTTTATTTGAAATAATTTAAAATTTGATAACATGCATTAACTTGAACGTTGCAATGATAAATTTTCATGGGCAATATATTTAAGAAAGTGGATAAATACCATGAAGTTGCTTTCCGTGTCACAAGATGCCACAAAAGTTTTAAAACGAGTAAAGAAAAAACCAGTTAGAACACAAAGATTTTGGACAAGGCTGGGACGAACAAGTGCTTGGTGGGACATTTTTGCCAGTGAAATAGTCGTACCAGAGGAATCTAGGGAGATCTTTAGGATGAGCAGAGAATCGCTCAACTCTTTTGCGAAAGAATTAAAGTCATACATTGAAGGGAAAAACACTATAATGAGGAAATCAATCAACGTTGTGAAGCAAGTAGCTGTAACATTATATTATTTGAGCGACGAGGGTTGTATGCGGAAAACAGCTAACGCTTTTGGACTTTTACGGTAATCTGTGTCAAAAATCATCCGGAAAGTGTGTAAAGCTATAACAATTTATTTTTGTCCAAACTATGTTAAACTTTTAAGGACAGAGGAAGAACTAAATTGTCTGGTAAGTAAGTTTCATAGAGCGCACGGTTTCCCTCAATGTTTAGGAGCAATTGACGGAACCCACATAAAACTTAGGCAGCCTTATGCAAACTTAACAGATTACATCAATCGTAAATGGCGTTATAGCCTTAATGTTTAAGCTGCTTGTGATTATAATTAATGTTTCATGGATGTTGTTGTCAAATGGCCCGGAAGTGTGCATGATGCTAGAGTATTTTAAACTCTAGTCTAAATTCCTCTTTAAAGAGCGGAAAAATTCCTCCATGCAACGTACAGTACTTCCTGATGAGGATCCTGTCCCAGTATTCATTCTGGGAGATTCTGAATATCCACTTATGCCGTATGTTATGAAAGAAAATTCAAATGGTGGATAAACTGTGCAAGAACAATACTTGGGTTTGACCTTGTGCTAGGCTCACATGGTAATGGCATGTTACTTTGGCCGCCATAAAGCTGGATTTGGAGCTTTAAAGAGAGAAATGGATATAAATATGGATGAGCTATCATGTGTCATTTATGCATGTTTGTGCTTCATAATTACTGTGAGATAAGCAATGAAAAGATTGGAGAAGAGAAGGTTTCCTCCGCAATTGATTACGATAGAGAGTTTTAACCAGCTGTTGTAGCTAACAATTTCACCACTGATTTCAAAGAAAGTGAGGGTAAGAAAACAAGAAGGATTTTGACCAAGTACTTTGATCCTTGAGAATCTGATGTGTTTGAAAAATGTATAACAATTTGCACTAAGACTTCCTTCTAAATATAATATAATAGAATGAACATGATAGCTTTTCCAAGATTGACCTTGACACAACATTCATATATTGATTTTTAATTTAATTATGTAGAAAAAGTTTGATTTGAACATAACATTAATCTACTTAATTATGAGGTTGATTTAATGATATACATTGTTTCAAATTGTGCTATTAATGCTGTCTTTATAAAAAGCAAATATATTTTTGTTCTTTTAATGAATAATTGGGG